TTGATATTGGATCCAAGGAAAATGAAGTATTTGACAACTTCAATCTTTTCTCCATTTATCATAATGTTATTTTTCTAGTCCAATGGTAAGGAATTTTGTTCTCTTTACATTGAGGTGCAACCCATACCAAAGACTGTGGTCTTTCATCTTCATCAATAAGTATTTTACATCCTCTTCACTTTCAGCAAGCAAGGCTATATCACAGGTTGCTCACGCATCTACCTACATCGTATACTTCATGTAATCTAGCTTCTTGGATTATGTGCTCAGTGTATAGACTGAATAAGTATGGTGAAAGACTACAATCCTGGAGCACACCTTTCTGGATTTTAACCATTGAGTATTCCCTTGTTCTGTTGGAATAACGGCCTCTTGGTCTATGTACAGGTTTCTCATGAATATGAATACAATTAAGTGTTCCAGAATACTCATTCTCCTTAATGCTGTCCATAGTTTGTCATGTTCCACACAGTCGAAAGTCTTTTGACAGTCAATAAAGCAAAAGTAAACATTTTTCTGGTATTCTCTGCTCTCAGCCAACATCCATCTGATGTCAGCAATGATATCCACATGCTCACATGAATACACCTTGAACTTCTGACAGTTCCCTGTCAACATACTGTTCTAGCCATTTTTTAATTATCTGTCAATATACTATTCCAGCAATTTTTGAATTATCAGTAGCAAAATTTTATTTGCATGTGATATTAATGATATTTTTTCTGATGGTTTCCACATTCCGTTGGGTCACTTCTCTTTGGAATGGGCTCTCTTTTAATTAGTAGGCCATGTAGCTGTCTTCCAAATTTCTTGTCATAGATGAATGAATGCCTCCAGTGCTGCATCAGTTCGTTGAAAGATTTCAAGTTGTATTCCATGAACTCCCAGAGCCTTGTTCTTTGTCAATGCCTTCTGTGCACCTTGGACCTCTTCCTTCAGTATCATTGGTTCTTGATCAAATTCTACTTGAAATGACTGAGCATCAACCATTTCTTTCTGGTACAGTAATCCTGTATACTCCTTCCATCTTCTTTTCATGCTTTCTGTATTTGCCCATAGAATCCTTTAATACTGCAAGCTGAGGCCTGCATTTTATTCTTCAGTTCTTTCAGTTTGAAAAATGCTGAGCATATTCTTCCCTTTTCATTTTTTAACTCCAAGTCTTTGCACATTTCATTATAATATCTGACTTTGTCTTCTTGAATTACCATTTGAAATTTTCTTTTCAGCTCTTTTAGCTCATTTCTTCAATTTGCTTTAACATCTCTATGCTGGAGAACAAGTTTCAGAGTCTCTTCTGACATCCATGTTGGTCTTTTCCTTCTTTCTTGTCTTCTTAATGAGCTTTTGCTTTCTTTGTTTATGATGTTCTTGATGTTATCCCATTCTGGGTTTCAGCCATTAGAATGTACTGCAAATTAGAGATATCTGTTCTTCAGATGATCTCTAAATTCAGGTAGGATATGTTCAAGGTCAAATTTTGGTTCTCCTGGACTTGTTTTTACTCTATTTGTGCCATCATGGTCACCTCTACTTTGAGGCAGCCCCTCTGGTAAGATCCATGTATATATCATCTTTCATGTTGTTTTAAAAAGTTACTTGCAATGACTAACTCTTGGTTTTATAAAAATTCTATGATGCAATCTCAGGCATCATTTCTATCAACAAGCCATACTTTCAACTACTGACCTTTCGTCTGTTTCCAATCTTTGTGTTCCAATCACCAGTAATTATCAGTACATCTTGATTACATGTTTACTTGAGTTCAGAATGAAGAAGTTATTATTGTTGTTGTTGTTGTTGTTTAAGTGCTGTTGAGTTGATTCCGACTCATAGCAATCCTGTATAGGGTTTGCAGCTAGTGGATTTGAACTGCAGACCTGGTAGTTCACAAGCACAGCACCACAGTTGGCAGAATTCTTGATTTTCAACATCACTGGCTTTGGTAGTTGGTTCGTAATTTGAATAATAGCAGAATTCCTTATAGTCGTATGGGTATTATCCTACCACACACAGCATTATACTTCAAGACATATCTTGAAATGTTTTTTTAAATAATGAACGCAATGCCATTCCTCTTGAATTTGTCATTCCTGGCATAGTATTATCATATGATCGCCAGACTCAAAATGCCCAGTGCCAGTCCATTTCTGCTCATTAATGCCTAGGATATCGATCTTTATACCTTCCATTTCATTTCTGACACTTCCCATTTGTCCTAGATTCAAACTTCATACATTGCATGTTTTGATTACTAATGGATGTTTACAGCTATTTCTCCTCTTTTTGAGTTGAGCCCCATCAGCAAATGAAGGTCCTAAAGCTTTACTCCACTCACCTCATCACAGTCAATTCTGCTTTGAGGAGAAGCTCTTCCCCAGTTGTATTCTGAGTCCCTTCCAACACTATATCTGATAATATTCTGGTGCTATTCACCATGTTTCAGTATTTAGTATTATGGTGCTGGCAGAGTTCCAGTGGTATTAATAAGGTTTTCAATGGCTAAGTATTCAGAAGTAATCCACCTCTCCTTCTTCCTAGGCTGTCTTAGTCGGGGAGCTCAGCTAAAACCTGTTCACCATGGGTGTACCTTGCTGGTATTTTAAATACTGGTGACATAACTTGCAGCATCATACCAACACACAAGCCAGCAGAACACAACAAAGTGGCAGAGGAGTGGCAGTAGCTGAGGTAGACAGACACTCTGGCCTATAAATTTTTTGTCTGATGTGTTCTTTGAACCACATGTTTTCTTATGACTAACAGTGATGAAGGGGAGCTCCCATGTGAGTGAAGCAGAAGCATGGAACTGTGGGTACTGCATAGAATTGCTATCAAACCAGAGACAGAAATCCCAGTGATTATGAGCAATCTTAAATATTTAACAAATAAGGGCTTTCTTTTTGTAACAACTAGTCAATTCTATCACTAAAATATGTATTTCAGAAGAAGTATTTAAAATGCATTAAGCTCTAATACTGTACTCCCTCTTCTCTATAAAAATGTATACCAGTCCTATGATTACAGAAAAAATAGAAATGAATTAGATTATCAATCAGTTCAACATTTATAAGATCATAAATCCTAAACAGCATTTTTCAAGTGTTTAAAGATGACTCCAAGTAATTCATAAGTTTACATAGCTTTTCTTATCTTAAATAAAATATTCTTAATGTCTGAAATAATGAAGCATTGTACACATTAATAAAAATATTTCATATTAAAATAAGCCACCACCAATAATGTAAACAGCTGTTTTCATATCCACTTACTGCAATCTCTCTACAAGCCGACATGGATATTCCTGTGCCTTCAATTTGCTTCAGTGCATATTCTTTTTCATCTTTTCTGCATATGAACAAAAGAAAAATCATTATATTTTCTGCACATTATTTTCAGGTTCAAAACTATAACTACAAAAACAATGGAAATTACTAAGTCTTCTCAATATGTAAACACTCTATACCGTACATTGCTTAATATTTTTTAAAGTATTTCAAATACAGAAATATGAAATACCGAAAGAAATTCGTGTCATAATGAAAACATGAAACAAAGCCAAAACACAAAATTCAAAATTGAAACAGAACAGGATACTAAACACAGCACCAGTTTCAAAGAATCAACAAGCATAAATATAAACTCGGGCATATTGCAAGATAGTTCTACTCTTAATATCTGGAGTCTATGAAAGCATTCAGTTATAAACATTCACTATGAATGTAACCGACAGACATAAACTCCTAGATTCATTTAAAGTAATTCCATAGTATTATTGTTGTTATTAAGTGCCATAGAGTCGGTTCCGACCCATAGTGACCTTGTATTGGGTTTACAAGGAGTAGCTGGTGAGCTTGAACCGCTGACTTTGCGGTTCAAATGACTTTGCAGTCCAGCACATTAACCCACAGCACCGCACCAGGAATTCCGTAGTACAGAAACATTATTTACAGGAAGGAGGAGCCATAGACATCAGCCAACAGCCTTCAAAAGATTCCAAAACTTTGAGTTGCCACCAGCATCTCATTTTCAGGAACTCTAGGAATTATACATTGATTCTCCAAATAGTGGAGGTAGGATTAAAAATTTGGGGGAACAAAACAAAAAAAATTTTTCTGGAGAACCATAATAGTTGCTTACCCAAGGGAAGACAACAGTTCAATAGTAACTTAATTCTGAAAATCTCTGAAACTACTAATAGTATCAAATGAGTGGCAGACACTGATATAAAAATCCTGAGATGTACTAGTACAACAGCACAGAGACCAGAGCTACACCAAGGTCCCAGATGAATGCCCTCAATGAAGTTCATATCCATAAGCTGTTCAAATAACAGGGCATAATCTACAACTTCCAAGTTTTGTCATTTGATGCGTTCAAGCCACAGTAAGGTGTCACCATGTTAATGAGGCTTATGTCCCATGTAGCACCTAACAATGCCATATCTGCCCTATTCAGCTAGTCCTCATTTCCCCTGTTTTGTGTTTACTAGCAGAGAAAGCAACTTATTAATATTATTCATTTTAAAAACATTTTTAATGCCATTTAAAAACATTTTATCAACTACCACTACTGAACATTCCTGTGATGACCATAATAGAGGAATCCTGATAAAAAAGGGAGGAAAATATATAACAGAACTTCAAATTATTAAAGAATGCATAATTACTAGAGCTATTGAGTATAGAAGACTCCCTAAAATGATGGCCCTGAGTTGCTCTTCATATCTTGGATCAAAACTATCCCCTGAAGTCAACTTTAAGCAAAGTAATAGCTTAGACCAAAGAGTAAAGACTGTCACCCTTGATCATTACATCACTTAAAAAAAAAAATGTTTTCTTAAATTATGCATGCGAGTATAGGAGTCTTGTTGTGGGACTGTAGGATAATCCCTGGACTACTCCTACTAACAGGAAGGTTGGCAGTTTAAACCCACCAATCGCTCCTCAGAAACGTCACATGGAGTGTCACTATGAGTTGGAACCAACTTGATGCCACACAACAACAACATACAAGTATAAAATCCATGGGTCAACAGTTATTTTAAAACACAGAAGAGATAATGGAGAGGGGAACAAGGAGAAGGGAGCATGCAGGGAGATAAGGTAGAAGTGAAACCACCAGAACAAAGAAACAAGACTGTTGACACATGTTAAGAATGGAACCAGTGTCATTGATCATGATGTCTAGAAACTGCAAAATGAGAATGGCTTTTGCTGTGTATACTGCCACCAAAAACAAAATTTTAAAAAATACTAATCTTATGTGCCTTTTGAAGTTTTCACAATCATGTATGTCTGGGGCAAATCACCGAATTATGGTTACTTTCTCCCATGATCACTTAAAAAAAATCTATCCATATTTTCTTCTAATAAAAAGCATACAAAAAATAATTAAGCAGCATTTTGATAAACAAAAATATCAGGTATGTCAACAGGATAGATTGTTAGGCAAGTCTTACAATGAAAATCATTAAAGGTTTAAAAAGCATAAAAACTGTTTATCGTATACTATTGAAGAAATACACAAACTTATACTATATAAAAATACAAATACATATAGGAAGGGGCTTTAAACAGTTAATGGAAAATTAAATTAAAAGAAGCTCATGTAAATAAAATTTCCCACAAACTTTTTGAAGTCCTTTCAATATACATATGTTGAAAGTAAAATAAAAAGTGAAAACAGTTAATAGTATTACAGGGAGTTATTTTTAACTACTTCCAGTACTATTATCATATCACCTATTGAATTAGAGGAAAAAATAAAAAATCCAAAATAATTTACCAATATTCACCTACTAAAATAATCTCTAGTAATTTTAAATAATATCTTGTTGTGGTGGTTATGTGCCATGGAGTCAATTCCGACTCATAGCGACCCTATACAGGGTTTTCGAGGCTGTAAATCTTTACCGGAGCACAAAGCCTCATCTTTCTCCCGCAAAACAGCTGGTAGTTTCGAACTGCTGACCCTGAGCTTAGCAGCCCAATTCGTAACCACTACACTTAGGTAGCATCCTGGTGTGGTGCTGTGGGTTAATGAGCCAGACTGCAAAGCCATTTGAACTGCAAGGTCGGTGGTTCAAGCTCACCAGCTGCTCTTTGGAAACCCTATACAGGGTCGCTATGGGACAGAACCGACTCAATGGCACTTAACAACAACAACACTTAGGTGCATCTTAAAGAGAAAAGTCAAAAATAGGAAAAGTCTAGGTAGGTGATCATATTTTTGCTTTTTCTCCATTCTGTTTCCTTCCAACAAAACAAATAGAGTTTGTTCCAACAACCCAGACATCATTAAAAACACAAGCAGCAGGGGACTGAATGCAGCTGAAGTCAAGTGTTCCCTTTCTACCTTAAATGCATGTGGTGGTATGGTTGTAAAATCACATGTACCTGAGATGTTGTCACAATGCTGATAATGTACATTTTATACATTCACTCATTAAATCAACGAATCAGTATCTATCACTAAATATTTAAGCTTAACAAATTCTTGAAATAAAATTGTACCAGCTTTCTGACAAAATTTTCATATGGAACCATAATTTTTTTAAACAGAAATATTCCAATCATAATCTCCTCTAAATAAAGTACTCCAGAAGCTCATGTAATTACATACAGTTTTATTTTTAATACTGTAAAGAATATTACACAATCTGGATAGGTTACCGTTGCTATGGAAACTATAAGTTTTTTTTGGAGTAAGTCAAAAAGTGCAAAATTAACACATCACATTAATGGTTTTTGAATTTCATAACCAGGCTGTCAAAAGAATTTGAAAGCTTGAGCAGAACAGACTGACACAAAGGCCTGTTACTCTGCGTTTTACAGCTAGGAACAAGGAACAAACCCAGTAATTACTACACTTAATAATGTTAAATGTAACTTCCACCTATTAAATTAGTGAAATACTCAAAGATCTTCATATTTTAAAGTAGCAGCTTTTAAAATGAGAAGGAAGAAAAGTATGTATATCCTGACCATTTCCCTTTTGTACACTAACTGTGAGATGCAAAGAGATGATGTAGCACTGCTGAGGTTCACCCAATTAAGAAGAGGCAGGGTCCCAGAGGGCTTATGGGACTGCCTGGCTCTGTACTACGTCAATGCGATCTTTGGTCGGATACCAGTATCTTAACTATGAAGATTAAAGGTGCACCTTTTACCACGTCACAAGGGTAAGGGAGCTTTACTGCTTCCATCACATATGTGTGCCCTCAGGAGTTCTTCCAAGTTCTCGTGGAAATTCATACCCAATAAATGAACTGTCTCTGGCACACATAATATTAAGTATCATGAAAGTACAGTTTGCTCTTTTGCATGACAAGGTTGAAAAGCAGGTAAAGCTGGTCCCCACTGCTATGACAGTCTGATTTGCAGAGACAGTTCTTCCTTAAAACTATTTTAAAGTAACATTTAAAAAAAGCTCTGTGATTCTAAAATATTTAGCCTTCAGGGTAACTGCTTTCTAAAATTTAATCCATCTTAGATATTATGATTGGAGCTATTGCATAATATTAAAAAAGAAAAAAAAA